TCAAGCAATTCCAGAGTTGAGTGCTTCAAATGTGGGAAGTACGGTCATTTTGCTAAGGACTGTTATTTAGGTATCAAATGTTATAATTGTGGGAAGGTTGGGCATTTCGCGAAGGACTGTCGATATGAGAGGAAGAAGGAAACAAACCTCCTCTTTGAGGATGCTGAGGAAGAAGGAGTATTGATGATATCGAGAAGTTCAGATGTCAAGCTAAGTCCGAGTTGTTCTGACAACTCGGTTTGGTATCTTGATACAGGAGCAAGTAACCACATGTGCGTGGACGAGAACCTTTTTAAGGAGCTCATTAAAGTTGAGGTCGGACACGTGTCATTTAGAGATGCATCAAAGGTGGCAGTAAAAGGTCGAGGTACAATCTGGTACCTGTAGAAGAATAGTCGAGTTGGAGAAATCAGAGATGTGTACTATGTACCCAATCTCAAAAGCAACATATTAAGCATGGGTCAGTTGATGGAGAAAGGCTACTCGGTTCTGATGAAAGACCGAGTACTATACTTGAAGGACAAGTTAGATCGTTTGATTGCCCGAGTAGAAATGAAGAAGAACAGAATGTACAAGCTAGACTTGAAGATAGTCCAAGAGAGGTGCTTGAAACTTGACGTGAATGATGAAGCAATGATGTGACACTTTTGATTTGGTCACTTGCATTTTGGCGGGCTGACCAAGTTGGTAAAGAAAGAGATGGTGCCAGGACTCCCGTTTATGGAATTTGAAAAGAAATTTTGTGAAGAGTGTGTGCTCGGGAAGCATCCGAGGACCTCATTTCCGAGGACTACCGAGTACCGTGCAAAGGAACAACTCGGATTGATTCACACAGATCTTTGTGGATCGATAACCCCTGAGTCTTTTAGTGGAAAAAGGTATTTCATTTCTTTTATAGATGATTTTTCAAGAAAAACCTGAATATATTTTTTGAAGGAGAAATCCAAGGTGTTTGAGGTGTTCAAGAGATTTAAAGCAATGATTGAGAAAGAGACCGACATGCCTATCAAATCTGCCAGGTCTGATCGAGGAGGCGAGTTCATTTCATCCGAGCTCATGAAGTATTGCGAGGAGCAAGGGAAAAAGAGATTTCTGATAGTACCATACTCACCCCCAACAAAACGGAGTTGCCGAGAGGAAGAATCGAACCATTCTTGACATGGTTCGAACAATGTTGAGAAGCAAGAACGTGCCAAAGAAATTCTGGGCAAAAGCAGTGCAATGTGCCATCTATGTGCAAAATAGATGTCCACATGCTAAGTTGAATGAGAAGACACTGCAAGAAGTCTGGAATGGAAGAAAACCCAGTGTGTCTCACCTTAAAGTGTTCGGTAGCATAGCTTATGGTCATGTTTCAGCTCAACAGAGGACCAAACTCGAAGATAGAAGCAAAAAATACGTGTTTATTGGGTATGATGAAAAAACCAAGACATACAGGTTGTTTAACCCAATAACTAAAAAGGTCATTATGAGTCGAGATGTTCAAATTGATGATGAAAGCGAGTGGAGTTGGAACAACCTGGAGAAGGAGTCCATAGGAAGTAGAAGCTCGGAAGTTGATACACCACATACTGTGAGAGATCATGAGACTTCTGATGAAGAAGATGAACCTCTACAGCTCATAGCACGAAGTTTACAAGATATATACAACTCAACTGACGAAGTGCATGTTGTATGTCTCTTGGCAGATTCAGAAGACTTAAGTTTTGAAGAGGTCGTGCAGGAGAAAAGGTGGAAAAAGGCAATGGACGAGGAGATCGGGGCAATAGAACGCAACAATACATGGGAGCTGACTGATTTGCCCAAAGGAACGCGACCTATCGGCGTAAAGTGGGTGTACAAGAAGAAGACAAATGCTGAAGGAGAAGTTGAGCGATATAAAGCTCAACTCATAGTGAAGGGTACAAGCAGAAGGAAGGAATAGACTATGACGAAGAATTTGCCCCAATGACGAGAATGGAAACAATTAGGCTGGTGATTTCCTTAGCAGTGCAACACAGATGGACAATCTTGCAGATGGACGTGAAGTCGGCATTTCTGAATGGAATCTTGGAGGAGGAAGTATATGTTGAACAGCCACTCGGATACATGCGAAGAGGCAAAGAGAAGAAAGTGTTGAGATTGAAGAAGGCACTTTATGGCTTGAAACAAGCTCCACGAGCATGGAATGAAAGAATTGACACTTACTTTAAAAGGAATGGATATGAGCAGTGTCCTTATGAACATGCTCTATACATAAAGAAGAAAGGAGAAGATGTGATGTTTGTTGCCCTATATGTTGATGACCTTATCTTCATGGGGAATAATGCCAAGTTGATTTAAGAGTTTAAAGAAGTGATGAAGAAGGAGTTTGAGATGACTGACTTGGGTCTTATGAAGTATTTCCTTGGTTTAGAAGTTGTTCAAGGAAAGAATGAGATCTTTGTGTCGCAGGAAAGGTATGTTGAAGAGATCTTGAAGAAGTTTAAGATGACAAGTTGCAACCCGGTTTCCACCCCTATGGAACCTGGTACAAAACTTTCTAAGTATGCAGATGGAGACCGAGTTGATGCGAGCAAATACCGAAGTCTGATTGGAAGTCTTAGGTATCTTACAAATACTAAACCAGATTTAATGCTAAGTGTTGGAATAGCAAGTCGATATATGGAGGAGCCAAGGTATACTCATTGGAAGGCACTAAAGAGAATTTTAAGGTATGTGAGAGGAACAATGTCATTTGGCCTAATATATACTAGGATAGATGATTATCGACTAGTAGGCTACTCGGATAGTGATTTGTGTGGAGATGTTGATGACCGGAAAAGCACATCTGGATATGTATTCTTCATGGGAAACACAACATTCACCTGGCTTTCAGAAAAGTAGCCCATTGTAATGTTGTCAACTTGTGAAGCCGAGTACGTTGCAACATCCTGGAGTGTCTATCATGCAGTTTGGCTTAAAACCTTCTAAGCAAGCTGGAGTTGAAGCAAGAAAGAAGAACTGTGATTCGAGTTGATAACAAGTCAACCATTGAATTGGCAAAGAACCCGGTCAATCATGAGAGAAGCAAACATATTTATGTTCGATTTCACTTCATCCGAGAACAAGTGAAAGAAGGAAATGTAGAGTTAGAGCACGTCGGAACCTGAGTACTAGCTGCAAATATATTCACGAAGCCACTGCCTACCACTCTATTCGAGAACAACAAGAAGATGCTTGAAATGAAGGACAAGAAAAACATTTAAGTTTATGGGAGGATTTTGTTAGGTAAACATTAAATGCATGTAGTTGAGAGGTAGTGGTTATAGAGATAGTGGTTGACATGGTTGTATTGAATGTATGTATTTGAGAGGTAGTGGTTGTATTAAATACATGTAGTTGAGAGATCATGTCCAAAGGCCTATAAATTGACCATGTACCACTCATTACAAAAACATCAAGTGATAATATACAGAGTACTTTATTTAGATACTTGTTTGTCAACAAAACTCTCCTCCTGAAAATAAGGTTGATGGAAATAGTCCTCTTGTTCATTGAAGGTAACATCCCTAGACACAGAATTTTTTGGATGGGGGTGGTAGCATTTATACCCTTTCTGAGTGGCTGAGTAACCAACAAAGACACACTTTAAGGTTCTAGGATCAAGTTCCCCCTTATTTGTACTATGAATATGGACATATGAGATGTACCCAAAATCTCTTGGTTTAAGATTATTTGTAGTAGACAAGTTTGGATAGAAAAACGACAAAATTTTCATAGGACTTTTTGATCCTAAAACTCTAGAGGATAGTTTATTGATAAAGTAAGTTACCGTAAGTACAACTTCCCCCTACAAATTTTGTGGGACACTTTAAGGACATAATCCCTGGAATTGCAGGACTGTTATGCTAGTAATAATAGCAAGATATAGCAAATATAACGAAATAAAATACAACAGAAATATTATCTAAAACTTCCTAATTATATATTTTGACAGAAGCTGCCACAGTTGTAAGTTTTAACAGAATCTAAGATTCTGTGACTGAACTGGGACTGCTTACTTAGCTACAGAATTGTCCCTCTAACAGTGATAAGGGCAGAGACTTGTGAAGTACACTATTTGTAGTTTACCAGGGGATTGTTGTTGTATGTTAGGGTTCAATTTTCCAGAAGCCTGAGTTATTATTTGGCGATGGTGACTGCCTAAGAGAAGAGTGTGATGATTGCACTTTGGGGTGAATAAGTGTAAAAAGAAACAAAATGAAAGTGGTTTTCAAAGAAAAGTGTGTAAGACAGAAGTAGGCTTCAGAAAAATTGGTACTCGATGAGCTTGAGAATCTGTAAAAGAGACCAGCGTCAGGGTGTGGCATCAGTTTGAATGCTAAAATTTAAATCATTACAGAATGTTCTATAACTTAACACACTTGCAGATATTAGTTATGGGAATCAGTTAAATACATTCCGGAAACTAATTTCTACAAAGATAGTACTAAAATAAATTTGAGAATTGAATTTCTGGAGATTGTATTTTTGGAAAAAATAATTACAAAGCACATGAAAGGAAGTGTACAAGTAAAAAAGGGGATGCAAATAGCAATTTCACTTTTATGACCACAGATGTAACTCCGACAATAATATTACCATGTCAGTGTCACAATGTCATATTGTACTTGAATGCAATTCTAATTGTTTGCCAATCAGGTAGAATTTGACTGGTCAAAGAAATAAAATCATCCGACCCTAAATGTTGATATTTGACAGCAATGGTTTACAAAGCCCCAACAGAATTAGATGGACGATGATACGAAAAGAGCCACAGATATCTTCATAGCATCGAAAAGGTTTCGAAGCTAAATGTAGTGAATTTAATCTACTTCTAGCATTAACCTCAACTATTACATAGGAACAAACCTTCAGGAGAACATACAGAAAAACAGACCGCCTAGAACGATGTGTTTCCTGTAAAGAGGATATATTAGAGGATATCATGTCAGCCACTAAACATGTCTGAGTATCACCATTGTTATATTTTGCTCAGCATGCAAACCCATCGAAATGGCTCATGGTTACATAGGGATGCATATATGTTAGAGCCCAAGACAAATCACAGGATGGGAAAGGAGTATGGGATCAACAAATTTCCCGTAGGCCAACCATTTGGAAAGTTTATACTAAGAGGAATAAAAAGAAGGTAGAAGAGAGTTATATACAAACTATTTGTACAGAGAGAAGAGGAGGGTGAGGGTAACGGGGAGTATCTTTTGGGTTGTTATGAGTGGAGGAGAGCCATAACTCTTTATAGGAGTTGTGTTCCGGACAGTAGTGGTTATCTCCTACTGATTTTCAGTATCCTAATAATACTAATATCAGTTTTCCTTTTATTCCGTTTTTGTTAATTCTCTGCGTAATTACTACTGATGGATTCAGTTTTGCATCAAACTAATCTAACCTGCCGGATGCCTGTGAAGGGAATTACAAATTAGTGTTCAAAGAAATTTTTGAGTTGAATGCCACTGAAAAAGAAAGCAACCAAAGACGGGGAAATGGAAGCAAAGGTCTTGCCCTAGAGAATGAATTGGCCAGCATCAAGGTAACAATGGCAGCAATGCAAACAAAAGCTGATGAGAATCAAGCTCAGCTCATAGGACTCCTTACAAAGAACATCACTAAGGGAGAAGACGAGTCAATGTACAATGGACCCAAAAGCAAATTGACAACAAATGGTGGTCACAATGACAATGGGGTGAAACGATTGGAAGGAATACATTGGATGAATTCTGTCAATTGGTGAAGAAGGTGGAGCTATCAAACGTCCAACAGAAAAGATCCAACTACATAGATTTCTCATGCTGGCCCAACTATGCATAGAAGGACCCACAATCCATTCCTTTAACGCCTACTTTGCGGCAAAACGGTGGTGTTGGCGATTACATTGAAGATTTTGAAAGGTTGATGGTTCAAGTTCAACACCTTCCTGATGCACAGTACTTTGGCTATTTCATCCATGGGCTACTGAAGATGTCTGCGGGCCGCAGACTGCGGCAGAGTGCGTAGCATGAGCTCTATGGGTCCTTTATCTCGCCCATAGTTGATGAATCTAGCAAGGGCTATTGAAAATGAGCTGGTGGGCCAATCTCATTTGCAATCACATGCGAGATACATTGGTGCAATCAGCTTGGGTTAGGTTATACAAATCAAACCAAGTCATCTAACCCAAGTATCCCAAACACTATTGGTCAGATTGGGTCTCAGTAGGTTGTAGAGGAAGCAAGGAGGAATAGATTGAGAGACAGGGGAACCAAACATTTAATGTATCAAGAGTTGTTGGACCCCAAACAAAAGGGTCTGTGTTTTAAATGTGAAGGGAAGTTTCAAAAGGAAAGTTCCTATCATAACACCACCCGTAAGAGCCCATGACTCGAAGGCTTTCAGGCTATGACACTCCACTCAATTTCCCATGGGTAAAAACCCTCCCTAGTACCCTTTTTGATACATTATCAACCAACTATAGTACCAATTGGTAAGTACCAAAGCATTTGGGAAACCCACACTTAAAAACTAGCTATTAAGGGGGAAAGAACCATGCATGTAAATTGGTAAGGATTTCATACTATTGATGTGAGACTTAGGAACCCTCATAATACCCAATTTCCTATCATATGATTTACAAAGCCCGAAGATAGCCAGATGGATAATAATATGAAGAGAAGCATAAAAGTATCAAAAAAGCTTTTTGAATACACTTATAGTGCTAAATTTTACTATTAAATATAAACAAACCTTCAGGTGAACAAACATTGACTATAGACTGCTTAGCACATTGTGCTTCCTGTAGAGAAGGATATTATAAGATCATGTCAGGCATTGAACACATCAACAATTTGAACTTGTGTTGTACGACTACTGGACGAACTTCTTTATAAGGACTTCTAGAAAAGAGAAATAAGAAAAAAAATTAAAATGATCTTTTCTATAAGTTAAAATTATAGCCTATGCACAAGTTAAAAATAAACAATTTAGAGAAGTTATATGAGAGAGCTTCTACAAATTAGCTTATGTATAAGTTAATTTTAACTTATAAAGTTCATTTCATTTCTTCTTATTTTTCTCTCCTAGAAGTTCTCATGGAGAAGTCTCTCCAACAGACCTATTATTGTAACTTTCTCAGCAAGCAAGTAAACAGAAAGTGCTCATATTAAACCAAAATAAATACTTTCCTTTTCCATTTTGTAAAAACAATTCATTCTAGTTGTAGTGTTTGAGCTTGTGTTGCCATATGTCACCATTTCCGAACTAGAAACTCCTGTTGGCACTAAAACTGAAGAAGAAGAAAACAATTCTACTTTCTCCCTCGCCATCTCCAAAAATGAAGCCACAGCAGAATCTAGCTCCCATCCAAGCTGAACTACACAAATGCTCTCAATTGATGTAGTAGTCAAGTTTCTTGCATTTGGCCCATGCAACCAAAAAAGTACAAAGGTGCACAGACATTCTTCCTCTCCTGTTTTCCAAGAATGCTTACTTTCTTGCACCTGTGAAAGCAGACACAGTATCAACAGCACATGAAGGTACAGATGAAGAGACTTAGCCCAAAATGTAAAAGTATTTATTGTTATTTTCCCCAACACTAATGGTGGTGTATTTGGTAGGGGAAGGAAGGATAGAAATAACTTTGGTGTGTTTGGAGGAGGAGAAAGAAGGTGTATATAATTTTAAAAATTGTGGAACTTCCACTTTTTTCTCACTTGTTTAAATTTGGTTAATTTCATATTGAAATGACTAATTAGCCAAAAAGTTAATAGATAATAAGACTAGATTTGCTCAAAAAATTTGGTTACATCATACACAAACTACCCGAAAAAAAAAAAAAAGTCCACTTTTGCTCAAATAATGTATGAGATTCATTCAATATAATCTCATCTAGTGAGCAGCACTTAAATTTTAAGCAACTACTAATGCCAATAAATTTACCATATATAACACCCTTCCATTAGCTAATAAAATGATAGCTAATATCCCACGATTTCACAAATGTGCAATTTTGATCATCATTAATTAATCTATAAAAATACTGTGTCCCTGGTAAAAGTATTAAGTACTTATTCACCCAATAAATTATTGACATAAATACATTGACATTTTTTTTATTAACAATTCAGCTATATAGACCAAATTTGTTTAATTTTGAAAAACTAAAAAACAAAAGAATAATTATATCTCTGTATAAACCAAGATTGCATGTTAGCAAAACTACAACTAAAATGCATTTAAACATAAAATGTCAGTATTAAAGGCGCTGGACATAACAACAAATGGTAAACGACATGCATAACGCGGACCAATGACTGACCCCATCGACAACAGCGTCGTAGAAGCGAACATCGTCGCTTCCGAAGGAGTGACAAGCGCAGACCCTAGTGCCGGGAGAGAGTGAATGACAGTCATCGTCCTGAAGCTGTTTGGAGAGGGGTCTGAAGCGGTGCTTGAAGTCCTCAAGCTCCTTCCAGTCCCGAAACTGGGAGGGACGAAAAGCCTCGTCGTTTTCGTCGGAGAAGTTGAAGTACTTGACAGTGAGAGTATCACCGGCGAACAAAACACAGACCGTATACCAGGCGTCGTCTTTGTAGGCTCTGAACTCCATCATGTAACTGGCCACCGGAACCACCCCACTGGACGGTTCATTTTTCGCCTGCATTTTCTGTTCGCTATTCAAAAAAAGTAAATGCAGTATCACACGTCATTACTTTTATCACCTTTCATGGTGTCACTTCTATTCGGTAGTACAAGTATTTTTTTTTTTATCTATAGATTATTCTCAGATAATTATTAAATTAATTATATAAGAGCAGTTTTGTACGACAGTTCATAAATAAATTCTGAGAAGTACTTATTTTTATAAATTTTATGAAAACAAAAAACTTGCAGATATGAATTGACGTAAGAGAAGTACTTGTTTTTAAGGTTTAGTTTTTTTTTATTTTTTATTCAATTTAATCTTAATTAACAAAAAGTTCAATTAAATAACTTAATTTTTAAAAACATAATAATGTGATAAATTTCTACCCAATTAACAATAAAATTATTCACAACTTTAATTTATGTATAATGAAATTTATAACTAATAAATGATAACAATTATAAAAATTTATTATTCAATTTTAATAAAAAACAAGTCATATTGTTATTCTTTTAAAATGATAGAACTTATTGAATTTTGAAAGGATTTTATTATCATATTTTTCTAAATTTAAAGAGATTTAATAAAGCTTATATTAAAGTGGCTAAATTAAATAAATAAATAAATAAATAAAAAATTAAATAGACCTATTTTATCATCAGTATTTAATATTTTCTTTGCATACGGTTCTTTTATAAATATTAAAAAATTACAATGATATCTTACTTATTTTACCCATAGAAAAAATAAACTAGTTTATTGTTACTTTTTCAAAAGAATTTTGTTACGACATTCACTTTTTTTTTTAATGCGTTAATTTAATTAAGACAAATCGAGTAACTAATTTAAGGATTATTAGTGTAGAAATATATTATAAGAAAATTTAATTGTTTTTATCACCTTTTGCCCTCAAAAACTTTATAGTATATATTTTTCAAAAACATTTTAAAACAGAAAGTTTTGTACACTAAGTAAAAATAAAAATTTATATAAGTTCTTAATTCTTGAAATTTAGTTTTGATTTTGATTTTAGTTTTAAATTTTAAAAATATATTTTAATTCCTCAAAATATGATTTAGTTCCAAAATATCAAATTTAAGGGATTAAAATGATTTTTTAAAAATAATTTTATTTTTTTAATTTAATACTTTAGAATTAAAATTATATTTTATTAAATTTATAAATTAGAATAGACTTTTTCTTAATTGAATGGACTAGAAATATATTTTTCTCAAATTTAAAAAACTAAAAGTATAGTTAAAAATCATTTATTATTATTATTAATAATATGCTATTAAAAAATATTTCATTATATACTATTATTATTATATAATATTATTATATTAATATATTATAAATATCAACACGAGAATTTTAACATGTCAAGTTAGGTAATTGTTCCTTATTTTTTATATTATTTATTTATCTTTTTATAATATAATGTAATTATTATTAATTTAATAATAATGAATTTTTCATAAATTCATGAGATAAACATGATTATTCTATTATATTGTTATAAATGAATGTGAAAAATATTTTACTCATTTTTATAATTATTGTTGTGATGGTGATCATGAACATAATGATGCTAGTTATCATGACTAGATATTTCATAAAATGAATTGATGAGAATACATATTTTTCATCTATAGTTTGATAATAATTTGAAAAAAAAATGAAAAAGAGTGAAACAACAATAAAAAAATATGTTATTATTGTGATAATAAAAAAACATTAATTTCATACTTATCCTACACTAAAATATATATCTTATTAAAGTTTATCAACCATCATTTAACACACAAGAGAAAAATATTTTAGTTATGAGGATATAATTCTAATTATGGTTAATGCTATTCATCTTTTTCTTAAATCAAAATAGAAAAATTAATAAAGATTAAGAATTATTTATTTTAATTATTTCCTTAAATTAAATATAATATTTAATAGTTATGCTTAAAATAATATTACATATTTTTTATGGTTTAATATTACTAAATTATTTGTTTTAAATTATTTAAATTCAAAATATTTTAAATATTTTCATAATATAATAAGTAATCTCATATAATAAATAATCAAATTTAAATGTGATAATCAAATATAATAATATATTAATCAGTTTACCATTGCTTATATTTTTTTTTCATTTCACTTTACTACATATAATTAATACATTTAAATTATATTTAATTGATTGTTTTCCAACAACTTTGATAATTATCAATGTAATTTTTTAAAATAAAATAATTTTTACAATTTACTATTTTACTTTTTTTCAATTTTTATTATATTTATGTGTTATGTATGTTATATAATTTATAAAAAAAATAACTATTTTTTTATTTATATAGAGTTTGTCATTATTCTTTTTTGACAATATTTTATTGTGATTCAATTGTACTTTATTGTAATTCAAGTGGGTGAATGAAATTATTATAATTCAATAATTATTGTTGAAATATATATTTAAAATAGTGATAAAAAGAATTCCTTTAGTAAAACATACGTACACATATAATACTTAAAACTAAAATAAAATTTGTTTGTAATTATCATCTACTCTTCCTAAAGTTTAATACCTATATGTTTTGTTTTTGTATAACACAAGTCTTCACAATTTAAAAATAACACCAAGAACATTAATACACAAGGTAAATTAGTAGTTTAAAATAAGCATAACAAAAATTCAAATATATTATAAAACAACATAATTCAAAACCCAAGTATTCAAAAATCACATCACCCACATATAGACACATTATCGTGTCACATAAACATTACATAACTTCCACAATATTTAGATATTGAAATAAATATTAAATATGTACACTTATCACACCACAACTCCCCAAGTGTTGAACATAAGATATTTAATATGGCTTATATACGTTCACGTGTGACTCAGTTAATTTTTTAAACGATTTATAAAGACACAATTTTTTTTCACATCATATGTTAAGTTATTAAAAACCCCTTTAACTCTTACCACCAGATGATTTTATCTATATAATTCTAATGATTAATAGAGTCTCAATTTTATATTCATAAATACTACACCACACATGAGAATTTTCCGCGGTAACTCTCATATTATAATACAATTTTTTGTTTCAATTCATATAATGACATTCAACACGTCTCATTGCATATTCATAATATATATTCTAACATCTTAAATCATATACATACATATAATACATAAAATAAATTGCATTATATTATCAATTTTTATAATTTTTAAGGTTTTAAACAATTCCTCTTAAAAATCACCTTTTTCTCTAAACAATTTTCGCTTGAGTGAAGTGACTTTTCGTTTGAGTGAAAATTCCTTTGTGTGAACGAAAATACACCTGAAAGACCTGCATATCATGACAAACTAATTTTCAAGCACCAAACATTATCCTTTGAGATTTTATTACACAATTTCCTTCAAAAATATCTCATACCTAATCCAAATATAACTATCTTACCCTAACATGCCATACATATCATTTCATACATCATTATTCTAAATCAACTCATTCAATCATAATGTACAATACAATATCAATAATTAAATTCTCATAAATCAAACATTGTGACCAAGTTATCATCACAATTCATATCTTTTAATCTAGAGTACTATGGAACTAGAGAATAACTAGTTTTTCTTACCTTAATTTCACAATTTTTAGTTCAAATACTCCATAAGTTTCTAAGATCACAAATAGTCAGATCTTACTCACAAAAAACTTTAATTAATAAATTGAGTATACCACAATATTCCTAAACTAGTCAAAATTCATTTTTACCTCCAAAAGAGTCTTAGACTCATGTGCAAATCCTAGTCATAATTTGTAAAAATACACTAAAATGAGGTAAAGAAAAATTACTTTACCTGAAATTTTAATTGAACGTATATGATCTCCTCTACTTTAAAAGCACCAAGGTATGCTTAGATCTAGAAAAAGATGAGAGAATGAGTAAAAAAGTTAAAAGAAAAGACATATAAAACACAGTTGTAGATAGATGATGGTTTTATAAAAAGGAAGTTAAAATGGTTAATTTATTTGGAAAACTTCAAACTTTACTCCTACTAAATCATTTATACTTTTACCTCACTTAAAATGAGTTCTAACAAACTAAGTTGTAAATAATTGAGTTTCTCATCTTTATTTGGCTATATCATTTATAACAATTTTTTATATATAAAAATATTTGAAATAATTTTATTTTATCTTATCAAATAGTGGGATTGGTCATGTGACCAATGTGATATAACACATCATTCATAAATTCAAATAGAACATAATAACACACTTTCATGAAAATAAAAAAAATAAACTATTATGATAAAAAAAATGCACTAAATTAATAAAAAAAAATGATTTTGATATGTTTTATATAATAAAAATTATGTTACTTTCGTATCAGAAAAATAAGTACTAAAATATAATTTTGTTGATATGAAATTCCTCTTCTCACACTTATTATAATAATTATTATACTAATATATTTCATTGTTAAATAGTTGTATTTTTTTTAAATAAAACCAATCACCACTCATTCTATAACGAAGAACTTTCCAATTCCATAGTGAATTTCTGTCCTGGAATCTCTCCGGACATTATGCTCGTTGTCAAGGTCAACAACTAGTAACTTGTTGTGAAAGATGATGTTAGGTTGGACCAATATTCTTGTATATTTGGAAGGAGGACCAAATGTCTTGGTCCATGTATAATATCTCATGTAAACTTTTGTGATTTCGTATCTTTGGTGATCACCAAGGAAGGAGGAACAAGTGCCATGATCCAAGATCTCAAGTATATTCTTGTGACGAATTCCTCCAATATTATTTATATAATTTATAATGAGACTTGCTTTTGAAATCTATAACAGGTGGTTAAAAGTAATCAACATAATATCATATTCTCTAAGCATTATTAATAACCTAATTTATAATTCTTAAAATATGAATTTAGACCGTACATAACCCAACAAAACTTACTTTTTAGGTGAGTATTACCTCTATATCTATATTATTTTTAAACTTTACCTCTAGCTTACATAACCCTTTTAATGGATCTAAAATACATCAAAATACCATTTTAGATTTTCAGTGAAAATTTAACTCTTTCCTCAAAGCAATTTGTAAAGTAAAGATTAGCCCACTTTTATACATTCTTTTTACACTATCTATTGCTCATTTGGGAATTGTTTTTTTTTTTTCAATAATAATCATACTTTACTAGTGATATTGTCTAATTTTAATAATTGATCCAAACAAAATCAAATAATATATTATTAATAAATGGTAAGATTCCAACATTTATTTGCCTCACTCCTCTGCAGAATACCTCAACAAAGAAGAGGTTAAAGAGACGGCACCGTTTTGCTGTCCGCCTTGACCAAGCCAGAGCTTCGTCTTGGCCCTCGATTTTGCCTTGCAAAACTTCCGGTCACAGACAACATAGTCATCATCATCATCATTTTCAATGGCACCTAAACAAACCAAGGCAGAGAAAAAGATCGCTTACGATGGGAAGCTCTGCCAGCTTCTGGAAGAGTACGGCCAAATCCTTGTGGTGAACGCCGATAACGTGGGATCCAACCAGCTCCAAAACATCCGCAAAGGCCTCCGCGGCGACTCCGTCGTCCTCATGGGGAAAAACACGATGATGAAGCGTTCCGTCAGGATACACGCAGAGAAAACAGGCAACAACGCATTTCTAAACCTAATCCCCCTCCTTGTCGGCAATGTGGGATTGATTTTCACCAAGGGTGACTTGAAGGAGGTCAGTGAGGAGGTTGCTAAGTACAAGGTTGGAGCTCCTGCTCGCGTTGGGTTGGTTGCCCCAATTGATGTTGTTGTTCCTCCTGGCAACACTGGTCTTGATCCATCTCAGACCTCTTTCTTCCAGGTTCTGAATATTCCAACAAAGATTAACAAGGGTACTGTGGAAATCATTACCCCTGTGGAACTCATTAAGAAGGGAGAGAAGGTTGGATCTTCTGAAGCTGCATTGCTTGCTAAACTTGGCATAAGACCCTTCTCATATGGGCTTGTGGTTCTTTCCGTCTATGATAATGGGTCTGTATTTAGCCCTGAGGTCCTTGATCTTACTGAGGATGACCTCATTGAGAAGTTTGCCGCCGGTGTTTCCATGGTTACTTCTCTTTCGTTGGCTATCTCATTCCCAACACTTGCAGCTGCACCACATATGTTTGTGAATGCCTATAAGAATGTCCTTTCTATTGCTGTTGAGACAGATTATTCTTTCCCTGAGGCAGACAAGGTCAAAGAATATCTGAAGGACCCAAGTAAATTTGCTGTAGCTGCTGTTGCTGCTCCTGCCTCTGCTTCGGGTCCTCCAGCTGCTGCAGCCAAAGAAGAGGAAAAGAAGGAAGAGCCGGCCGAAGAATCTGATGATGACATGGGTTTCAGTCTGTTTGACTAATTTGTTTAATGCTGGCTGAGGTTGCTTTTCATGTTTTTTTCCATTTTGTTGTTAGAATAGGGGAATTTGTTCTTCATTTTGTATTGTTTTAGTTTACTGTTTTTCTATTTTATGACCCAAGTTTTTTAATTTTAAAATGATTGTTCCGTTGTTAAAAAAATAAAAAAATAAAAAAAACTTTGGCTCTGATACCATGTTAAGATTCCAACATAAAACCAATCTAACATGTATTTAAATCATACCAAATGATATGAGATAGGCGACGTGGGACTTTCAACAATAAATAATAAATAAAATATCAAATTTAAATATATATATATGCATATGTTTAGTAGATCTAAAATCATAAATATTAATATAATTTTCAAAATTTTGAGATTTATAATCCTTTACCTCCCAAAAAGTTTCATAACTTGAATTTGCATAGTATTATTTCGCTATTACCAGATAGGATGTCAAAATTAAGTTATGCACTGATATCATATGGTATTGAACATACAATTCTATAGACTGTCGGTTAAGATAAATAAACGACACAATGAATGGAATGTCTTGTATATGGTATAAATTACAAAGTACAATTCAAAACTAGCAAGGTTAATGCACAAATAGCTTTTATATAAAATAAATGAAAGTACGATACAACAGTAGCCAGGTCAATGTACAATTAGCCGTAATTATAATGAAAACATTTTAACTTTCTTATCGATGGTTAACGACAAATTTCTTTTCTCCTTATGAAACTATGATTTTCACTTTATCATGAAGGAACAGTTTCTGGCAGTTTCATCACCCTCCAATCATGTTTCTGTACAACTTGTATTTGTATATATCTTATTGGGCTAATGTGTAAAATATGAACGCTAATGCTGATGAATAAGAAATTTGAGATCAAAACTATTATCATGCATATGCTTGAAGCCATTGAATTTGGTGGGAATGAATTATTATATCATTTTCTCAAACTTATCAAGTTTCTTCACCCGTTGCATAGACCTTAAAAATAGTGCCGCAAAAACGCCTGCATATGCACAAGTTCTTACCAATCAATCACAATTAAAGCTGATGTACAGATGAACATGATTAAGAGTGTGTTTTTTTTTTTATAAAATTTTCTATAAGTACTTATAGAAGAAGATAAAAATAAAATAAATTTCTAGAGAGATGATAATATGAGAGAGGTTCTATAAATTAGCTAAAATTAACTATGCCTGAGTTGATTTGGAGAAGTTCTCTCATATAACTTTTCTAATTTTTAAACTTGAGCTTAAGCTAATTTTAGCTTAAAGAAAAGCCAATTTAATTTTTTATTCTTATTTTACTCTTCTAGAAGTGTTTATGGAAAAGTTTGTTTGAATAGGTAGTGTTTATGGACAGGTTTAATCAATCAGACCCAAAACAATATTTGACGAAAGTTGTATGTTAGGAATCTCACCTGCACCAAGGAATGATCCATTTGCAAACGCTTGATTGCCTTGGCTACTCAAAGTGACACCAAGATTTAGGAAGGTTCCACCCAATACCGAATACATAGTAGCCATTTGTAAGATTGTTGCTTTCCTAGCAGCTCTTTCAGACTGGCAAATCAAGTCACACAACTTCAACTGAGGGAGAAAAATGTTGCAAAATGTCTACCTACTTTGGACAATTTAATGACCTCTAAAATTGTGGTCAAAAGTTTTTCATAGACAAGTCCCATAACCTTCCGCTGAATTCTAAAAAATTATAATTAATCTTAATTGAAAATGGTTTATCTGCATAAGAAAATGCTAGATTTAGTGTGGTTTGATTTGGACACAACATAGAGAAATGCTAGGAGCACACTCGGTGACATACTCTTTCAAATACACACACACACTTATTGACTGAAATTTATTAAAAAACACAATTATGTGGGTGTCACATCGTATTCAATGAATCTAATAGGGAGTTAAAAGTGTATGTTAGGAAGAAGAGAATATTAAATAAATAACAGCTAACTAAACTGTTAGTTAGTTATAGGATGAGAGGAGTAGCGTTGGGAGAGGCTATATGTACCATGTAATGGGAGGGTTAGAGGGAGAAGAGTTTTGTAATAGAAGTAGAGAGGATCATCGTTTCCTGTGATTGTGGAAGACAGAGGGCTGTATTCTGTTTGTGGTGTGTTTGAATATAATAATCATTCTTTTCCTGAGTTGTGCTGCTGTTATTAGGGAGGAGAGACGGTGTTAGCAATCTTTTTCCAGGTTCTTACAACCCAGGACCTAACAGAATCTCTCTCGTGATTTTGTAATACATTTTAATTAATAGGAGTGTGTTAGAAATATCGTGTTGCTAGCATTCCCCTACAACATGTACAATGTGAACAAAAAGAAATTGCTAACCTCAAGTACTCGGACTCGCAGTTTCAGATCTCCTGTCTCAAGTTGCTTGACAAATTCCTCTATCCTTTGAACTCTGTATGGCATTGATATTGAATTGGTTCTTGCCTAAAAATGTTCCACCAGACTTGTTAATTTTTTAGTGAATACACAATGCCAAAATTAAAATAACGGTGTTTTATAATATGAAGAAACTTCATCTAGAATGAAAAACTAAAATAAAAGTTCCAAGGTGTAGTACATCATCTGCTTGTTTCCTTATCTCCTCCACAAGCTGTGGTCCAGTGCGCCGCTTTTGCCTTACATCTAAAAGTTCCTATTATGACAAGTTCTTATTAGTACTAAATCTTAACAGCGAATAAGAACAGTAACTGATCATAGACTGTTTTGAACCTGTGCATAAGGTGCAGCGATCTTCACAAAGGAGAAATCTGGATTGAGTATGTAACCTAAGCCTGAGAAAAAATAAAATGTAAAATAAAGATTAAACTCAAGAAAACAAAGGTTCTTGAAAAGAAATGTTTTCTCATTTCATTTTGTCATCTCCTCTATCTGTTTATAGTGTTAAGAATATCCTCCCTCAAATAAAGCTAATGTAACTTGGCAAGTTGGTAATGGTCATCTTATTCAGATTTGTGGCTGACTGAACCAGTGGCTGACATGATGGGACTTGATTCATCTATAAAACTTCTTATCGAATCTCATGTCGCTGATTTTATGTAAGGAAAACAGTGGAGAATTCCTACATTGATAACAGATTTTATAGATTACTATCCCTTTGAATGATAGACAAGATATGATAAGATGGAAGCACGCGCAAAATGGAGATCGTCTTTCCTAGGATGCCTATCTTTATATACATCAGCAAAAGACTCAAGTTACTAGGGGAAAGCAACATGGAATAAAGCTATTTCACCTTCTACGACTTTTATTCTTTGGATGATTTTAAAAAATAGGATTCCTACAAATATGGCATTAATGATTCCTTCTGTCCTCATTCCTATAATTCTTGTGAAACTGTATAACACTTATTTTTTTCAATGTCATTTTGCAGTTAATCTATGGAACTGGCTTGGGAGCATCACTGAACAGCACAACTGGCTTATGACATTTATCAGCTTGTGGTGGAATTTTTAGGAACTCGAAGGGGATGTTCTTCTAGTCCTTCTCAGGTTGACACTACCTTTGAAGCTGAGCTTATGGTAGTTGTTGAGTTATGAGATTTTTTTTTTATTTACAATAAAGATTGCAATGATATTATTACGAGGGTAGTTGAGGTCTCTAAAGTACTCTATAGAACATCCTTGTAATATTTTGAATCATGAAATAAAACTACACTTTCCTATTCTTTTTTATACTTCTTATCTTTTTCTATGTAGAGATTTTCTCTTTTTTAGGTAGCTAATCATAAGGGTTGGAATTCGGTTTTGGTTTAAACAAGTTCTTTACTCACTGTAAATTCTGTCGGTGAGAATATGTTAGTTCCTTTGAGATTAAGGAAAAGATGGGAAAATGCTATGGGTTTGGTTAAAAGGATGAATTTCAGATTAGCCCATATTTACAGAGAAAGCAATAGGTGTGCTGATAGTTTGGCTAATCATGGTCTTAGAGGTGTTGACTTTAAAATGGGTAGCCTCAATTGACTTGCACATGGTAATGGCTCAGGAAGCAAAGATGACTATGCTTTTGGAATACTGTCCCCTTGAAGATGACGATGAGCAAAGAATGACTCAGCTTCGACAAGGGGAGATCCACAGAAACCTAAAACCAACGACTTGAGGGATTGTATAATTTCTATCTTGTATAGTCAAATGTGTAACTCAAGAAAAAACAATTGTTAGAATGAGGATGAAGTTTGGTCACAATGAAAACTTACACTAGAAATAACTGCAAACAATAGACCTAATCTAAGGAAAATAGCTTGGGATCTGAAGTAACCATACCATATGTCCAAATCATTAAACAATCTACACTGATTACACATTAATTCTTGTTGTGGAGTCTTAGAAAACTATCCCTACGAAAGATTGATTATCATCTTATTATGATCGAACTAATGTGAAATCAAATTAATAATGCACAATGGGTATGTTAAAGAAAAAAAAAAAAAAAATACTTCGAAGAATGATCAGCAATTCAGGGAAAAGAGCAGGGAGAGAAGGGAGCAAACCTTCGAGTGTAGAAAATGCTCTAATGACAAAGGTGAAGGTAGATGGAAAACGGAATGGCTGATCTTGTGCTATTGCAAATAAATCCTGCCAGAAACTCCATCAATAATAAAATTATACAGTATAAAATTCTGAAGATAACTTGGAGCAACCTAGAATCCAATGATTTTCCATCTTTGGCCTATCATCATATACAGTGAAACAATCGCACAAAATAATTGCAGATACATAGTTACAGTTAAACAAACTGGCCAAATATGGAGGAACTACGATATTATTATTCCAATATAAGTAAAAACTAACATACCTCCCCAATTGCAGATAAAGTCTGTTGTTGATCTGGTGTCTGGCTTAGAAGATTGTCCAAGAAAAACTGTACAGATCTCCTCACCTGGAAGCCAAATTAAGAAATTTATACGATCAAGATATGTATCATAATTTCAAACTGTTATTGATTATCTTATAAGAGTACGTGTATTAAATATCCTTACTGATGACAGGTCACCAGTGGGTTGGAGGGCTCCAAGATCTATAAGGCATTGCATAACCTGCACCATTGTCAATAAATAAGTTGTGGTAAATGTGAATGAGCCCTTTGTAACGTCCTTTTTTTTTTTTTTTTTTTTTTTGATAAAATAAATATAATATAGTTGTTTGTCTAACACAATTAAATTGGGCTAAGAGAATAAAATAACTTTTTTTGTAAAATAAAATAAAATTGGGTGGTAGAGAAATATAAAGTTAGTCGTAAGTTGAGCTTCATCTTTAAATGCTCAATAATATTCTCCCTTTACATGTTATCCTTGTTTAATTTCTCACGCTTGAGAGAAATCCTAGGAGAGACGAACACGTGAGGAGATGGAAGAGTGGTGCTTAGATTAGAGATTTGCATATTGTGTATAGTTATTTGAGGTAAAACGAGAGAGTAAAGAACATCTCATATATGAATACTTAAAAGAATTGTGAATAAAGAGGCAACCCCTAATCCCTTACTAGGATTATATTATATGGTCGTAATACTATTATTTTCAGTAATGTAAATTATTGTATATTAATTTATTATGTATTTGTGTTTTTTAGATCTTAAGATCCCATTTACGTCAATTGTGCTCGCTCACAAGATTAAATTGATCTAATATGTCGTTATTCTTGTAAATTGTACTCGTTTTTGTACCTTAATGCTATTGATTGTAATTGAGGCAGCCCTGAAGCCTCACTAAGATTCTTATATGATTGCATAATTATTGTTTATGGATTTTAGATTCACAAGATTTATATTTACTATATTGGTATTAATTAGTTGTATCTATCTATGATTTGTATTTTTTAGAAGTTAATATTTTCATCTCCTCTCTAATCAAAGTATCTCTACATCCTTCCATTATAAATATGAGGTGCTTTGAGTTATGGAGACACACAAATATTATAATATTTCTCTTATTTTCTCTCAAGTTGGTATCAAAGCAAGTTTATCCTACTCTACCTGTTTTGGTTCTACTTGGCCCACCGCCAATTGCAGCCACCAGCCGCTAGTCACCGCCAGCCACAGCCAATCACCATCAGTTGTCGTCGACAACCACCAGTCATCACCGACCATTTCCAATCGCTGCTACTGCCATCGTCTGTCGTCACCACCGCTTACAAGTCGCTATCCGTTTGGGGTTTCCTCTCTCTGTTTTCTCTTTTTGTGCGTTGTCTTATCTACTTCAAGTCCACTATTTCTCATGGACTCCTTCCATCACATCAGAAAAACTTAATGAGAAAAATTATCTATCTTGGTCAACATTTGTGGAACTCTGGTTTCTGGGACAAGGGTTCCATGATCATCTTGAAAAAGCTGGTGACAACCATGGACAACTTAACAACACGACTTCTTCGTGTTCCAACTCTTAGAGATAGCAGTTTCAAGAATCTCCAGAATATTCTATCATGGTAACAACTCGTGGGATAGGAGGTCGTGGAACTAGAGGAGGACGTGGTGGTATAGGATGTCCTCAATGTACGCACTATAAAAGAATGGGGCATACCAAGAGAATTGCTACTCTCTTCATGGTTTTCCTGATAAAACAGCAATGTCCACATCTATAGTTGTTGATCCGAAATTTTCTGAGGAATATCAGGAATATTTGAGGTTGAAGTCTAACAGTCTAGCCTCAACTCCCAGCATGTCAACTGCCTATATTTCACAATCTGTGGAGAGTCAAAATCCATGGATTATTGACTCAGGTGCTTTTGAGTATATTTCTGGCAATACCTCTATTCTCTTCTCTTTCTTATCCTAAAAATCATCATCTTATAACCCTAGCGAATGGATCCAAAGTTGCTTCTTAAGGAATTGGCCAAGTATCTCTTTCTCCTACCTTACACTTAAAGTCTATTCTCCTCATCCATGCCTGTTCTTTTGATTTCATTTCTTTAACTCAGTTAACAAAATCATTAAATTGCTTTATAACCTTTGATGCCAATTCTTTTATCGTACAAGAATGTGGGACGAGTCGACTGATTGGAGAAAGACATGAATCTAAAGATCTCTACTACTTTGGATCTAGCTCATCTGTGTCCTGTTTTACATCCTTCCCCCCAACTTTTACATGAACGTTTAGGTCATCCCCACTTGGCAAAGTTAAAGAAAATGGTTCCAGAACTTAGTCATCTCCAAACTTCAGAATGTGAGTCTTGTCAATTAGGAAACATGTTAGGTCTTCTTTTCCTAGATATTCTGAATCTAGATGTGAGTTCACCTTTTCTATCATTCATTTTGATGTTTGGGGACCAAGTCAAATTTTTTCTTTTGGTTTTAAATATTTTGTTACCTTTATTGATGATTTTTCAAAATGTATACTTGGGTTTATTTAATGAAAGATCATTCTGAACTTTTGTCTATCTTTCCTTAATGAAGTTTTCAATCAATTTAGGAAAGTTATTAAAATTTTAAGTGACAATGCTAAAGAATATTTCTCTTCTGATTTTTCTGCACTCTTAAGATCACATGGTATTTTACATCAGTCTACTTGCCAAATTGACGGGCCAAGGGTGGGGTTGGTTGACCCACTTAAAAAATATATTTATATATTAAAATTAGAATAAAAAAAACTAAATTAATTTTTTTTATGTTATATTATTGAAATATATAAATATATTATAATATTATAATTTAAATTATAAAAATTAATTAATTAAATTTAAATTATTGATTATAATTAGTTATTTTAACATATAAATATAATATTTTTTTCAATTTATCTAATAAAAATTTTAATTGATAAGTAAAAACTTATAAATTATTCATATAATTAAAGATATTTTTTTTAAATAAATATAAAAAAAGAAAAAAATTGGCTAGTTGGTCTGCCAACCCACGCTTTGGTGGAACTGGGTCTATAACTCGTCCTCACTATCGTGGGTGATGCCCTACACCATTTTTGGTGAACTAGTGATGGGACGGGTCAAAAGAAGATGGACTAACCCATTTCTTCATCCTACTAATCCAAGACTCCATAATAAGTCTCATGGGAATAAAATATTTGCTTGGGAAAGGATGAATAGTCGACTTAATAATGCAAAAGATCTAAGCATCAATTTTGGATCAACAATGACAACTTTTTTAATCAATGGAAGATGTCGAGTGAGATGGTCAATATAATCTTGTCCCTCATGTCAGAGCTTAAGCTCAAAGGCTTAGGTGTCATAATTACTTCCAACTAACTTGTCAAAAGAGAGGAAAACATGCACATAGTTAGTAAAGACGGAAGAGTCAGACCTAGTACGACTAAGAAAGGCAACATAGTTTCATGAAAGAGAGAGAAAACAATCGTGAGAGAGAAAATGTCCCCTAAAAGGTGAGAAACATAAAACAAACTCCAATCACAACGGTGAGGAAATATCTGGAGAGAGGATAGCGAAGCAAGTCTAGTGCTAGGGATCGCTACCAAATAGGTGGTCCAATGTGTTTCCAAGCAAAATAGTCAATGAGTTGAAGAAAGAGGGATGTGTCTTGCATCATTGCAGCGCAAGACTCGCTACACTATTATTGTTTGGCCAAGGCAACTTTGGTGGTGGGGTTACTAGCTAAAATGGTAGTTGGCAATAAAAGCAGTAGAAAAAGAGAAAAAGACAATCGAAAAGGAGCTATGGCAAAAAGGAAAGCCAAAAATCATAATGAAACATGATTTTTTTTTTTTAAAAAAGATATACATCGATGAACAATGGGTCACCGAGAAAGCTTTGGTCTAAACTTTAGATACCATGTTCAAATATATGATGGAGAGTCAAAGAGAATCCTTGTGTATGATTCACAACAAAGGAAAGGAATATATTTAGTTTCTTCTAAAAAGGTATTATTATTGTTTTTGAGTTATGCAAGATGGGAATGATTGATATCCATTCACTAGCTAGAGGGGGAATATTGAATTATGAGAATATTGTTTGATTTACAAGAGTTGTATTAATTATTATTGTGGTAGGTTAGATGTTGTAATTATTAATAGGATAATTGAAGTGTCTTATAATTATTATTAGGGTAGTTGAGGTGTTATAATTATTACCAAGTTGAGGTGATGTAGTTATTATTAGAATAGTTGAGGTGTTCTAATTATTACTAGGATAGTTGACGTGTGTTATAATTATTATTAGGGTAGTTGAGGTGTTATAATTATTACCAAGATAGTTGAGGTATGGTAATTATTACTAGGATAGTTAAGGTGCTGTAATTATTACTAGGGTAGTTTAAGTGTTGTATACTAGGATAGTGTAGGTGCTGTAATTATTACTAGGTTAGTTAAGGTCTCTAGAGTACTCTAAAAATAGAATATAGAACTATAGTTTTCTAGGGTAGTTGAAGTCTCTAGAATAATCTATAAATAAAATATTGAACCACAATTTTCTCTTCCTCAGTATCTTTGCCATCTTTCAAGTTCCACGTAATCTTACTTGTCTTTACTTTACAGAAGACAGATGCATGAAGACAAACAGAAGACAAGATTTGATATTATCTTATCAAATCATATTGGAAGTACTTGTTATGACAATGTCTCCCATGTTTTTAAAGATGCAAGTATAGCAGAAACTCAACCTTTTTGGCATCCTTCTCATAAACAGCATAGAATAGTTCAAGCAGTCTCTCTCGGGTGAAAGATTTTATCTCCCCCATCATGCCAAAGTCATAATAAATAATTGCTTCATCAACATCAACAGCAAGATTTCCAGGATGTGGATCAGCATGAAAGAAACCTGTTCTCAATATCTGAAAAAAAAAAACAACAACAAAAAATACTCAATTTTTTGTCCACAGCTATCTTGAACCAACATGTCATTATATTTTATTTAAACATGGGCACATATAGGCTATTAAACATTCATGTGAACTAAATATATGACAATATTGAATATTGAAAGTTTCAGAGAGAAACAAGGCTGTGGACCTGAATCAAGTATGCCTCAATTGTACGTGATGAGATTCGTAATCGATCATAACCACGTGAAGTGAACATATCCACTTCATTTATTTTGATACCTATTTCCAAAATGTAAAACCAAAGTTCAATGCCATAATGACATACAACCCTTGATCGAAAGAGAATAATTTACTAGCGTCCATTTGTAAAGAAAGAGAAGAAAAGTACTAGTCAAGTTGACAACCTGGTACATACTCCAATGTCAATACCTTTGATGCAGTATAATCCCAAAAAACCAGCTGCACAGGTCAAAATGAAGGATGCGGTAGTAAAAATTAACATTAGTGCTACATTCAACGTGTTTAAAGGAGATTAGGAAGATAGGAGAGGTAAATTAAGTTTCAAGGAAGCTGAAACTATCTGAATAATAATATCCAGGACGACATATATAGTATAGCAACAAGAAACATACAGGTACTCGGACCCACTTTATGTTTCGAAAATCTCGGCGGAATCTATCAGCATTCTTTCCTTCATTTATATAATCAATTTCTTGATACAAAATCCTGAAAGTAGCACGTGCAGGACACTATAAATCACATAAGGCATGTTCATGGAAATAAAAAATATATAAACCAAAATACAAAAAAAAGTAATTAATGATAGTCGTTAAATGAAACCAAAACAGGTTACTAAGAGTCTATGTCTTTTAACATGCAACGAGGGAAGAAGAAATTTATTGCAAACAAAATGTTTGTATTACTTACGTTGCACATTCTTCATATATACCAACCCAATCTCTTGTTGGACCACCTAGAGTTTCACTTCTTTGAAAATATTCTGCAATCAGCTTTAAGTTTCCTGAAAATATTCCCACTAGTTAGTCATAATTGGTATTACTAAAGCTCAAAACAGTTGTAAAAATAACTCAGTCAAAATCATTGACCAGACTCAATTATATAAAATAAAGTATTGAATATAGAGGAAAAACTGTATAGGGTTAATTTCCCTTGTGTATAAACCACACATAAGATAATCTATTTATAATAGAGAGATACAACTAAAAGAGTAACTGAAAGTAAACAGAATAAACAGAAGATATTGTTTGATATTGTGATTAACAATATCTTAACAATATTAAACAATATCTAAATAATATCTAATACTTCCCCTTAAGTTGGAGCATACAAATAGTACGTGTCAAGATTGTTACAAATATAATCAATTCTAGGTTCCCGTAAAGACTTAATAAAAATATCTGCTAACTGATCACTTGAGTTAACAAATTCAGTTTTGATGTCTCCATACATAATCTTTTTCTGAATGAATGACAGTCCATCTCAATGTGTTTGGTCCTCTCATGAAAGACAGGATTAAAGTTATATGAAGAGCAACCTGATTGTCAGACACAAGTGTTATTTGAGTGACATCTCCAAATTGTAACTCTCTAAGCAATTGCTTGAGCCAAACAAGTTCACATGCAGTTGAGGCCATAACTCTATATTCTGCTTCTGCACTGGATCTTGCCACAATACTTTCTTTCTTACTTTTCTACGAGATCAAATTACCACCAATGGAGACATAATACCCAGATGTAGATCTTCTATCAGAGGAAGATCCTGCCCAATTAGCATCTGAATAGCAAATAACTCTTGTATGGTTATTGGAACCATACAACAAACCTTCTCTAGGAGACCCTTTGATGTACTTTAATATACGGATGACTGCATTCTAATGATCTTGACATGGAGAATTAAGGAATTGATTCACCACACTGACTGCAAAGGAAATGTCAGGACAAATAACTGTAAGGTAATTTAATTTTTCAACTAATCTTCTATACTGCTCAGGATCTGACATAGGCTCCCCCAGATTTGGCAGGAGTTTGGTATTAGGATCCATGGGTGTGTCAACAGGCTTTGAATTCATCAACTAAGTTTCCTCCAAAATATCCAATGCATACTTTCTTTGAGATATAACAATGTCATCACTAGATTGTGTCATCTCAATACCCAAGAAATATATGAGTTTGCCAAGATCTTTGGTTTGAAAATGGTGGCAAAGGGGTTGTTTCATTGGGAAGATGCCATGGTGGTCACTGCTGTAAGAATAATGTCATCAACATACACTATCAAATAATGTCATCAACATACACTATCAAATAGACACATCCAGCACTTAAGTGACGGTAAAATACTGAGTGGTTTGCCTCACATCTAGTCATGCCAAATTGTTGAACAACGCTGCTAAATTTGCCAAATCAGGTCCTAGGAGACTGTTTTAGGTCATATAATATTTGCGAAGACGATGTACAAATTCAGAAGACTCCCCCTAAGCAATAAATCCGGGAGGTTGCTCCATATAAATTTCTTCTTGCAAATCCCCATTAAGAAAAACATTTTTGACATCCAGTTGATAAAGAAGCCATTGTTGAAGAGCAGCCATAGTGATGAATAAACGAACAGAAGCCATCTTTCTGGAGAGAAAGTATCACCAAAATCCAATCCAAAAATTTGGGTATAGTCTTTGGCTACAAGACTAGCTTTGAGGCGATCAATAGTACTATCAAGACCAACTTTAATAGCAAAGACCCACCTGCAACCAACAACAGATTTTTCAGATGGTAATGGGATGAACTCCCAGGTTCCACTATTCTGAAGAGCACTGAGTTCATCTAGCATGGTCTGACGCCAATCAGGGTGGGCTAAGGCTTCAGGAAAAGATTTAGGAATAGACACAAAAGAGATAGATGAGAGGCAGGTATAAAAAGGTGAAGAAATTATATGATAACTCAAAGCAGTATAATGTGTAGAAGGATTAAGAGTAGAACGCATACCTTTACGAAGGACAATAGGAAGGTCAGACTCAGTGGGCGGAGCCGGAGGAGACAGAGTACTTGGCACTGGAAGTGAGTCACGTGATGTTTGTTGTGGACGAGATCTTCGATTATAAACCTGAAGGGGTGGTGGAGGAGGAGGGTCCGATGGTGGATTATGCTCAATAGGAGGATCAATTATAACAGGAATGTGAACAGTAGTAGATGGAGACTCATCAGGTAGAAGAGGACCCTTAAAGTAAAAGAAAAACACATTGAAGGTGACATCTACAGACACAAAATAACGATTAAGAGAAGGAGAAAAACACTTGTATCCTTTTTGTGATTGAGTAAATCCTAGAAAAACACATTTGTGTGATCTAGGAGATAACTTATCATGACCAGGATCAAAATTATGGACAAAACATGTGGACCCAAAAACCTTCAGAGGCAAAGGATGGAGAGGGTCACGAGGAAATAAAATAGAATGTGAAATTTTGTTATCTAAAACTGAAGAAGGCATACGATTAATAAGATAACATATAGTAAGAATAGCATCACCCCCAAAATGTTGAGGAACCGCACCATGAATTAAAAAATTGCGAGTTATTTCAATAAGGTGTCTATTCTTGCGCTCAGCCACACCATTTTGTTGAGGTGTATAAGCACAAGAAGTTTAATGAAAAATGTCACGAGAAGCCATAAATTGTTTAAAAGAGTTTGAAAGATATTCACAGTCATTATCACTCCGAAAGGTTTAAATAGAAACACCAAATTGATTCTTAATTTCATTATAAAAGGTTTGGAATATGGAAAACAACTCAGAATGATTTTTCATTAAAAATAACCAAGTACATCGAGAGTAATCATCAATAAAAATAACAAAATATTGAAAACATAAATTAGACTTAACACGACTTGATCCCCAAATGTCAGAGTAAACTAAGGCAAATGGGGATGAAGCTCGTTGTGAAACACTACGAGGAAAGAAATTACGACTGTGTTTCTTGAATTGACAGGACTCACACACCAAACTGGACAACTGGGATAAGCTGGAAACAAGTTGTAATTTGGTCAAACTGGGGTGACCAAGCTGAGCATGAAGGAGAGAAGGAGATTCCATAACTGTGCCAACATGTGTAGAAGGTCGAAGATGATAAAAATCATGTGACTCACATCCAGTGACAATCACTTGTTTCGAACTCCGGTCCAATAAACAAACATAAGTTTTGGTAAAAGAGATAACACAATCAAGAAAATGAATTAGACAGCTAATGGATAATAAGTTAAAGGAGGATCATTGAGAAGTTTACATGGCTCACGCAGAAAGGAGGAACTCGTAGAAGTAAAATTGGGTGTAACATGAGAATATTTATCAGCAAGTCCGTTTAACATTAAAACTATGAAAAACTTGGATCGTTGCTCTAATTCTTGGGCAGGAGTAGATGTAGGAGGTAATAACTCATTAAATTCATGGAGAAGAGCATGTATCTTACCCACATAATCCGCCACAGGATCCTTATCCCAAGGAGCAATAACATCAAAAAGGTTGTAACAAACACCATAAAGACTTTGAGTGTCATTGGTGTATAATAATTTGGCTTGTTCCCAAACTTCAGAACATGTGCCATAAGATCAAAAAAATTGTTTTAAAGAAGATTGGATGGTATTCTTGAGAACCATGCATATATGAGCATCAATTTTCTTCCAACGTACAAGATCACCAAAAGCAATATTAGTTACCTTTAGAGTAAGATGATGAACATACCCCTGGCTCTCAAGCCAAAGTTTAATGTTTGATGCCCAAGTTGCATAATTTGTGTCATCTAACTTATCAATGGGCAAATTCACATTGACATAGTTAGTAAAGATTGACTAGTTAGACCCACTGGATATGAGAGAAGAAATTTCAGAGTCGGAAAAGGTAGCGGAAGATGTCATGGAGGAAGAGAAAAAAAAAACCCTAAAACACCAAAGAGGTCTAATTGGAACAACGAGAACAGATCTAGGAAGAGGGAAACGAGGCGAGTCCGACGCGGGTGGCGGCGGCCTGAACGAAGGGACACTGCGCCGCCACGCGCGGCGGCAAGGCGAGACGGTGACGCGACTTTGGGTAGCACGTGAGGGAGTGTGGCTGCTTCGATGATGGCGAAACTTCCACCGTGGAGGTCAAGTGGTCGAGGCGAGCAAAACCCTGTGCTCGACGGTCAGAACGGTCACTCCGACGGCGGAGGCGGTGGCTACGACAACAAATGTTGCAATGGCAGGGATGAAAAAAAAAATTCCCAAAAACCTTAAGCTCTAGATACCATGTTGAATATAGAGAAAAAACTGTATAGGATTAATCTCCCTTGTGTATAAACCACATATAGGGTAATCTATTTATAATAGAGAGATATACAACTAAAAGAATAACTGAAAATAAATAGAATAAATAGAAGATATTGTTTGATATGGTGGTTAATAATATCTAACAATATCAAACAATATCTAAACAATATCTAACACAAAGAAACCTTAAAACAATATTTAACATTTATCAGACACTTTTATTTAAAGTAGCATGCAAAAGAATCACAACGAGGAATTTGATCCCAACTATAGCACAAGCCTCACCTTTCATTTGCATCACTCTACTAATGTATTAAAAGATCAAAAGGAATAAAAATAAAAGCATGGGGGACATAAACCAAAACCCATGAAAAACTAGCACATACAATAATCTGAACTAATAATTAGGAAGACCTATTCTATAACAACCTTTTCTCTAATACATTGCAAAACCACAAAATTAATCTAAAATCCTAACACACCAGCATACACCTTTAACATCAATGATAAAGATACTGAAAATACATTTGTATTATATACGATGCATAGATATGATACGAGTATCACATACGATTCGTATCCGATATGACGATTCGTATCTGATACGACAATTCGTTTATTACAAAAAAAAATAAGGTAGGACACGATACATATTTAAAAATGTAAAAAAAATCATGAAACATAGTAACTATAGAGTTACAATCATGCAAATCCAAATTTCAAATCACATTTCTTAGATAAGGTGAAAATAAAAAATATAAATAATTATCGTTATAAAATATTTTTTGTTATTTACATATAGGAATAAGACTATTATTCTCATTAATTACTTAAAATACTTCATAAGAACATTTTTTTTCTTTGGATTATGAAAATTAATATCTATATGTTTCTATTTTATAGATAGACATATGTTTCTTAAACTTTTATTGAATATAAATTATTTAAAAGTTTTGACATTTAATTAACATACACATCGGTAAACTAGCTAAAAGTATTATTTATAAAACAAATAAAAGTATTAATGTTTCATAGGTTTGGATACTTCATTGATACGAATCAGTGTGAAGAATCCGACACGATACGTATCGGATACATGAAACAAATTGAAGTATCAGTCCTTTGTAGGTATTATTTCACTATTCTCACAACCGAACAGAAGCACTAAGGTAAGCAAAATTTCTCTCAAAAGGAACACTCCTTTTCACACTAGCAAGATCCAGTAACTAACTTTTTTCCAAAAAAAGCCACTCCCACATACAACTGAGGATCTATTCCTTATGTCCTCACTCGCTAACAGAAATAACTACCCGGATCACATACTAATTACAATTGTATTTCCCACCAAACAAATATGAGAAACTTTAAATTACATTTGAGATAGGTGCAAGCAATTCTTCCAAGGATTCCTAAGATTCCAAGGGACCACTTCAATTGAAGAAAAACGTCAACTGCAATAATCGAATTACAGTCTAACCAAATTCTTGTCCTATCTTTTTATTGGCAATCTCAATTATGAACATGAGAGCTATTAACTCAGCTGAGAGGAATGGAGACTATCAACCTTAGACAGCAGCCCTACTATCCAAAAAGATGCTACCAAAGGATGCTTAACCTGGAGATCCTTTGGCTTCACCATCCGTACTACATTTGTCCAATTAAGAAGAGGAGGATCTGCAGTCTTATTTTGGTAATTTTTAGAGTAAATGTTTTTGACAAAGAAAATGGTATATTTGAAAGAAAACGGTATGGCTTAGATATATTTGACAAAACCAGTTCGTTAGACTCCAACTATTGACACACCAATAGATCAAAACAACAAATTATTACCAGAACCAGGAGCCTTATTCAGACCTGAGCAAGTACAGTTCAAGAAGTTAATTGGGACACTAAACTATCTCTCATTAACCAAACTATATATTTCCTTTACATGTAATAATAAGTCAGTTTATGCAATCTCCATGTGTCAATCATTAGAATGTAGTCCTACAGATCTTGAGATGCATTAAGAATGTTCTTGGTCAAGTATTGTTATATAAAGTCAAATTGAAATGCTTTAAGTGTGGGATGGATACTTCAACGCAGAATGAGTGATTAGCCTATTGATGATTAGTCTACTTTGGAAATATTGTATCTTTTATATTGTAATCTTGCATCTTGGAAAAGTAAGAAGCAAAAAGTAATTGTCAACGTTCAAAGACCATGTATAGAGCCAAGGAAATATTCACACGTGAACTTATATGACTAAACAGCTACTTTGTGTATTGTAGTTTAAAATGTTGATCATAAGAAGTTGTATTGTGATCAAGAGACTTTACATATTGCTTCAAATCCAACCTTTCATAAGTGAGAAAAGCAATGCAGAAATTGACCATCACTTTATTGAGAAGAAAATTCTCTAACGAAATAACTACAAAGTTCGTTAATTCTAGTGATCAACTTGAAGGTATCCTTCGTTGAGCTTGAACCACTTCACTAGTAAAAAGCTTGGGGCATTTAATTTGTATGGTCTATCTTGAGAAAGAATATTAGAAAGTATATCCTCTTTAGAGAAAATATCTTTTAAATAGGGGCTCTATATTTTTCTATAAATTATTAGGATTTGACACATTGTTTTTAGTTTCCTAATATTAGAGATTGCAAATCATGTGTAAATAATTAATCATGTGGAGAATTTCTATAAGTAATTAGAAATCCTTTGATCCATCTCAAGTGTGATTGTTGGAAGTCCCACATCGTTTCCCTCATGTCATGTGGTATGGTTTAATTATTTGTTAGCCTACTCTACATATTACCAATTGGCTTAATGTTAGAATCTTAACATGGTATCAAAGCTAAAGTCTATCTTTTTTTCTGGTTCTTGTCTTGAGTCAAGAGTTGTCCTTTTGTTGTGGATCAAAAGTACCGTTTGTTGTTGTCTTGGGCCAAAAGTTGCCCTTAAAATACCTTTTGCTTGGTCTGACAAGCTTCATTATAAGAGGCGTGTTGGAAGTCGTACATTGCCTGCCTTATGTCATGTGGTATGATTTAAATATTTGTTAGGCTATTCTAGATATTGTCAATTAGTTTTATGTTGGAACCTTACCAATGATGACAATAACTTTATCAAAATAACAAGACTTATCAAATCGAAGAAACAAAAATGACCACAACTTACGCAAGTCAATGTCAAAAAGCTTCTTTAGGCCAGGCCTTTGAACTTTGACAACTACTTTTTCTTCATTGTGTAGAATAGCTCGATGAACCTACAAATAGGGTCCCCAAAATTGAAGTAAAAAAGAGTTGAGTTATCTCATCTCATTGTCTATTCTACGAAGAAGTTGCATTCAAATTTAGAGTTCTAGCATAACACAAACACCACCACTAACATCAGCAAACTAAGATCATCAGATTGAATACAAGAAATGAGAAAAATATGATTGTCAACACAAGCATAATTCACCTGACCAAGACTAGCAGCAGCAATAGGCCGATCTTCAAACTCTTTAAACAATACATTAATGGGAGCTCCTAATTCACTCTCAATAAAGACTCTTGCTTTCTTTGGAGAAAAAGCAGGCACCCTGTCCTATAGAATATTGTATTAAGAATAAAAACTATTAATATGTATTGGAAATGAGAGAGATAAAGAACAAAATTAACTGCAATTACAACGGAGCTATATATAGCTATAAGTGTGACTCAAAGCTGAGTCAACACAGTAACGTCAGTAACTAAGTAAACAGAATGTAACTAACGTTGAAAAGAAAGTGAAATGTAAAATGCAAAATACAGTGAATTCCCAGCTAATACAATATCTCTAATAATATATCAAATGAGGCACCCAAATTTAGTAATAGACTCCAAAAAAAGTACCTGCAATTTTGCAAGCTCATCTACAAACTCCTGGGGAAACAGATCCGACCTTGTTGACGATAACTGTCCAAGTTTAATGAAAGTTGGGCCAAGCTGTAATACAGACTCCCTCAGCCATGCAGCAGTTTTCTGCCTTCTTCTTTTCTGAAATTCAATATTAAGAATACTTCAAGTCATCAAAGCAAAAGCACAATAGAAACTCAATCAAAAAACTAATATGGACGAGTGCTAAAGAAATTATTGTTGAGAGGATCCCCTCTAGGAATGACTAAAATCAGAATAAAAGAAAACGGTAACAAAATAACTTCCAGAACCTACTTGCTTTTCTTCTGTAAAGCCACCCAAATATGCCCATTTTGCATTGTCCAACAGAACTCGAATACGTAAAGAAATAACAAAAGACCAAACATCAATAGATCTCTGCACGGAGTTGTAATTTTCATTCGCCCAACTGAAGCCTTCGTCTGAAGGCAAAACTTTTAGCTCTTCCAGCGGTGGAAATTCTTTAGAGGCTCCAGATTTCATTGTCTTTGTCAAGGATGGGCTAGGATCTCTTCTTACCAAACTTGCTCCATTAACAGCTTGCTTTGAACTGCTCCCCATTTCCACTTTATTCTCTGACATTGTCTTTCTTTTCACTACCTCATTTGCTGGAACCATTTTAACAACTCTACCATTAGTACCATATGTTGATGGAGGTAATTCTGTCTGTCGCATTTCAACCAGGAAACTAGGAAATTTATCATTCTCTGACTTATCAGATTTTGACCTTCTATACTTTGGCAATTTATGAACTGAAATTGAACCTGGAAAACTGAGATTGTGTAGTTCTCTTCGCTGATTTCCCAACTTTATGTTATTATAATAATGACCATGCAAAGCCATTATTACTGCCATTCAAGATGATGATACCTTGCAAAACATCAATATAAAAAGAACAGGAACAGTACATGTCAAGTTAGTACTTAATTCAGAAAATCAATCAAGATAATATGGAATCTCAGAAAATAGAAGGCTAAGGAGAATAAAGAGAGGACAGGTTGAGGCCGAAGGATCTGATCAAAGTTCTGAAAAGTATAAAGAATTTCAAATAAGAATAAGAAATAAATGAAATTCAATTAATTACGCAACAGCTCCATAAGCCAATGCCATATCTTTCTCTTAACAAGGTTTAACAGAATCGGTAAGACAGCAAACTTGTCGTGTTGTGTAATTAAACAGGGCAATGCGATTTTTAGGATTAAAAGAAAGAAAGTATTCATCATTATAGAATATACATTACTGAAACAAAACCAACCAATAAAACATAAATTTGATGAACCCCATCTCAGCTATATTCTTTTTTTTTAGTTTCTCACATATATCCTCCACAATAATCAATCTTGCTCGTGATTCGAACAAGCACTAAATGTGGGTGTCTCTCCCATCATAGACTAGCCCAGTTTGCCATAAAACCCCTCCCTGTTTCATCCTAGTTAATTAATTATCATGTATCAAAAATAAGAAAAACAAGATCATACGGCCAACCATCAAAAGGAGTCGTAACCCCCAAAGTTAATATCTATCACCAATTAATCATGATCAGAAACACAGAACATAAGCACATCGTACAAACAAAGCAACAGAGTAACTCATACTCCATTTGACACGGACAAATTTTACTGAGAAATTTAAAGCAAATGAAATCATTGTAATTTAATTTAACCCTTTGACTCTTAATCTCCAATGAGACTTCCTGAGAAATCAAGCTCAATCCAATTTGGAAGGAAAACCCCATGCCCACTAGAGATAAATTCCAGAATATTGAAGTTACCAATAGAACGAAGCAATTCAGTTTGGAAGTGGAAAATCGTTACATACCTGGCTACCAGGATGTTCTCTGGCTTCAAGTAACTTTCAACGTTGAGTGGCAGTAGTGGACTTGTAACATGTAGCACTATACAGATTTTTTTAATAATTTGTTAATTTGTTTAATTTAAATTCGGTGGAAAGGACAAAACAGAAGTCGGATCTTTGAACTTGCGCCATTCAGATGCTTTTGGTGCATGTGGGTCTCTTTGCACCGCATGTAAGGTATCGTACTCTTCCGTCACATAAAATATTTGGCAATCTTTGTGCTTGAAAAAGCATTTGGTAATCTTTGTGCTTGAAATAACATGTTAACACTAACTTGGGTAATTCTGTGATTTAACCCGGTAATGATTTTGACTTAAGTCATATTCGCGTTTCACGATTTATTAGATCATAGAGAAAAATGGTGAAAAATAAATAAACCTTTAAATATATATATATATAATATTTCATTAGTAAGAATTAAGTGGAAATAATTTGTAAAAGATAATATTATGCATAATAACATGTTAAGTGTAATTTAAAAATATAGATTTTATTGATATAAAAATTTCTAATTAGAAACGAAGATATATTATTTAAAAAACTATAATAGAATTTTTCATCTAAAAAAAAATTGAAAATAAAATAATAAATTAGTATTTATATATTAAAATAAAAATTATAATTAATAAGAGAATTCTTCCAATAAATCTATAAATAATATATTTTAAAATAAAAATTACTTTAATAGAAACTTTACCAAATTTAATTATCTAAATAGACTTATTTATGATTTATTTTTTCTTATCTTTCTTCATCAATTTTTTCTTTTTCTTTTTTTATTGACTCCTTAATTTTATTTTTTCTATCCCATGTCTTTTATCTCTGTTTCTCATTTTCCATCTATTCTTTTGATTAAATTTAAACTAAAAAATATCAATTAATTATTTAATTTTATTTATTATGACAGTAAATAATTTTATTTATGATAATATAAATCAATAATTTAAAATAATTTTATCATAATAAATAATATATTTAATTAAAAAATATTAAATATTTATGAGTTAAATATATTTTTTTATTTAATAATTTAATCTAATTATAATTAGATTGAGTTATGATAATTAGTTTGATTAGATAATTTAAAAATTACTTTGAAATAAATATTAATTCTTTTTAATAATTATTAGATAGCAATAATATTTATAATATTTCAAATTTATTATATAATATTTTTTTTCAAATATAATATTTAAATTATAGTAAACATTGATCATTTAAATATTTTTATTTTCATAAATAATAAAACACTTACTTTTATCAAATTTTAATATACTATTTGTAGTTAATAAATAAGATGGAGAAGAAAAGAATAAAATACGAAAAAAAAAACTAAAAATTAAAGAAGATTGAGATAAAAAAATAATGTAAATGAAGAGAGAGAAAATTAAAAAAAAAGGAAAAAGAGAAAAATAATTATATTATATCATATTAATATATTATTATTTATTAAATTTTGTATAAAAAATAGGTTTAATTAAATAAATAAATTTTAAAAAATTATATTTAACTAATTTTTTTAAAATATTATTTGTGAGGTTGATTCGGATATTTCTAGATATAATTATGATATATAAAAAAAAACTGGCAGGTTAGAAGTATTATTATTTTAAAAAATAGTTATTATGATTTATATATTTAAAAAATAGTAAAAACATAATAAAGAAAAAATATTAAATATATTTAATGAGTGGTTTTGAAAATAAAATAATATTTTAAAAAAATAATTATAAAAAAGTGTGAACATGTTTTAGTTATTGTATTTCCACTAATATATTTTATAAAGAAAATTCTTTTTAGAGAGTCACATAAAAAAATTATAATGAATAAAGAATATAAAATAATAAAAAGATAAAAAAATTGAAAAAATATTTATGTATTTAAAAAAAGAGAGTAAAAATAATAAAAAAGATAATATATATATATATATATATATATATATATATAAAGATATATGTGACGTATATTAAAAATGAAATAAAAATTAAAAAAATATTATTTTAAAAAAATTAATAATATAAAAACTGTACTTTCCACTCCACTGATATATACAAAAGGGGGAATATCATGAATCTAAACATAAACACTATTTGTTTTTAAAGAAATTTATATTTTTTTTTATTCCAGCGTAAAATGTCCTTTTAGTCCTTGATCATATAAAAGAATCATATTAGTTAAATTTTGGGTTAAATTTAGGATATTAAAATTTCAACAGTAAGATGTGTAAATTAAGTAAAATTGAAAGTATATTTTGTTTAATGCCTAATTTTTAATAGAAATAATTAATATAAATTATTAAATAAAAAATACAAAAACTTAAATTTTTTTGTCTGTTTTTTACGATAAACTTTATTATTATATTTTAATTACACAAAATAAATAGTTATTTATAATTTTTTCTAATAAATTAAACATTTATATGAGAATATATTAAAATTTTAAATTTGTCACAAATAATTATTATTAAATGTATGAATTTGATATATTAGTAAAAAATTAGAAATAAATGGATGAATTTGGTAAAAAATCAGTATTACATGAGCCAATTTTGATTATAATAAAAGTAAGTAAAACAAGTTGGTCCAAGCCTATTCGTTTCTCTTCGTCACCGCAATATTATCGTATATGGAAGAAGAAGAATTTTTAATCTTTATTCCATGATAAAATTTTAATAAATTAATAATTTTCACCTACCTTTCCTTATTAATACAACCACTGTTTAGTAAATTAAAGAAGACTTATATTTAATTTTGTTTTTTAATTCTTAAAATAGTTTTAAAGATAAATTTTAAACTTATTTTTAAATAAAATGTTTAATAATTATATTTTAAATAAAAGAAACATATAAAAAACTGTGATGAAAATTGAAAAATAATTTGAATAATTTTAAAATAATCAAAATAAGTGATTTAACATGATTACCAAAAAAATTATTAAGAAAAACAGAAAATAAAAATTACCAAAAAAATTATTAAGAAAAACAGAAAATAAAAATAAAAATAGTTTTTATTGAGTTTAGTTTTTGTTTTAAAACTAAAAACAAAATTATTTTTTAAAATTGATTTAATAAAATAGTTACTGTAAAAAAAATTATATTTTAAAAAAATTAAAAATTATTTTTAAAAGCAGTAAAGAAACAGGTTCTTATTCTATGATGTCACTCCTCATTCACGCTACGAGTTTCTCTCTTTTTCCCTTTCCATTTATTACAGCCACCAAAAAGAAAGAGAGTGAGAAACTTAATTCAAATGGAAGATTAAAATTTATCATTTCTTACTCCCAGGTTATCCTCCATATTAATGGAAAGGTTTTTTTTTTCTCAACCCATTTCTCTCTGTAGACTATGCTATGTCTATAATAAAGAGACAAAATAAAAAATAAAATTGAGATATTTACTTGGAAGCTCGTCTCCTAAGTTTTCCACTCTTATAAATACCTAAAATAAACATTTGTTTTTCTATATTTCTTTCTTCTCATTCTCACCTACTATGGACAAAAAAAAATAAGGGTCTTTATTTCCTAAAATAAACCTTTGTTTTTCTATATTTCTTTCTTCTCATTCTCACCTATTACGGACAAAAAAAAGTAAGGGTCTTTATTTCTTTCTTCAATTCTTTGTTGTCTCTTTTATCTTTTTCAAAATTTTAGGTAAAATTCTTTTAACTTCATCTCTTTTACTTTTCTTTTTTCAAATTCTAAATATTTTTCACATTTGTTTTTTAGGTAAAACTTAACTTAAAGAATTATTCTATTAAAGAATAAGATGATTTGGTTTCATGTTCGTTATGATAACATTGTTAGGATCAATTATCATATATGAGGTATTGTTCGCTTTAGAAATCTAATCCATCACGATTTTATCTTTAAAATGTGTCTTTGTGGATTAAAAGAGATAGTGTATATAAAATATCATTGACCTCTACTTCAAATGTTACGCGTCTAAATCCGATGTGGGAGTCAAAATTTATCTTTCTTCAAATGTTTAGTGTCCAACCCACAAC